AGGAGAAACGGAAAGAAACCAGATAGTGCAGAAGTCTATTTTCCTTCCTCGGCACGGAAAAGACTTCACTTAGAATTACCTCTATTTAATTGTTCAGAGCAAAAAGGTAAGCTAAAGTTCGTCGTTTTACTTTTCGCATTTCTTGTACTCTTGTCCTGTTTGGGGCAGAGCACAATGGGTGACATGCACAAGTGGTCACGAGTAGGGCCATTCTTTTTCCGTTTTCGCGGAAAGGCAAATAGCAATCAAGCAAAAAAAGTCCGTAGGCCTTTTTCCTGGAGGAAACTTGACATCGACATATTGCTAATAAATAAAACGAAAAATTTTAAATAAGTCAATAAATGTCATCCATATTGAACTTCTCTTTTTGTCGAGAAACCGGGAAGGAATAAATCATTCAAACCGGGGGAGCGGAAGTTAAACATAGTCTGCGCGATCCTGACAGCCAGCTAGGCCGAGCGACAAATGTGTGTTTGTGCGTGTGTGTGTGACAGCTCTGCAGGCCAAACGCTTAAAGATATTAACTTGGGAATTTTTTTTTAGGACAGAACTCTTTCTTTTCATTTGAGGAAGTGCCTTTTCGAAATGAAATTTGCAAATCGGCCTCGCGAAAGGGAGGGAAGACAACTTTCACGAAAAATCTGAGATTCGCTCTCGTCTCTTGTATGAACGAGGAGACGAAAGTTGCCGTGGTATTTGCAAGGGAACGATGGAATCGCTCGCTGCAGTGCATCCCGCTGCTGTCGGGAATCAAGGGATTGTAAGCGTCCATGAATGGAATATGGGGCGATTCGTCAGCTCGTCGCCACTTGCGTTCGCACAGGCACCCCAAAGGAGTACATCACAGCAGTTTCTTCGTTGTGGCTCTCTTAAATTGGATAATTTCATAATTGCAGAATGAAGTGCTCTTTTGCCACAGCTTACATCATCTACAGTCCTTTGAAAGCACAAATGAACGGTGCAAAGAAGCCGACGAGCAAGAGAGTTATCCAAAGATTGTGTTGTTTTCCCGTATCACAGTCGCATAGGTAGAAGGCAAACAATTAAAAGTATAATCAATGGGCGACGAGAGCTTGCAATACAAAAAGGTGATTTGGGAATCGGGACGATGCTGTTTGCTGCGTGTTCCCTGTCTTCCTCCGATCCTATGAGCTGATGTACTCGGCTAGCCGTTGACGTTTTCGAGACTGGGGGCCGTATTCTATTAATTTCTTATCTGAAGATAAGGAATCTTTCCAAAACCTGAAGAGTTTGTTTTAGTAAAGTATTCAGCTCAGGTTGGAATTCTATCTCCATCTTAGCAATCTGCTGAGTTGAGCGATTTCCTCAAAAAAAACAAGATACTTAAGTTGATTACCTGACCAATACGTCACGTGACCAATACGTCATGCCTGACGTCATAATTTCCATAGTGGAGAAACCGCCTTAGCGACGAGTCTCATCCTCTTCCAAGGCGGTGCTCTAAATCCAGCAGAGCGACTCCATGTTAAAGATGGATCGAAAACGGCAACAAAATTTCACAGCAGAAGAACTCACAATTCTTATGGAAGAATATATTCAGCATAAAGTTATTCTCAGAACGGCTCTTAGTGCAAAGATTACAGAGAAGGACAATCATAATTCGTGGCTGCAAATTCACTGAGTGCTCATGTAAATCAATGATAACATGAGGTTAATTAATTTGAAATTACTGGTATTTAATGAATAGGATATTGCACAAGCCTGCGCCAGCCCGTCAATTGTACCTATTTTATTCTACTGACAATTTCCGCTTTGGAACCAATTATCTAGGTATAGGACAATTGAATTACTTTCTAGCCAATCTCTAGAAGGTAGTCAAAGGTTTCAAAGTAATCTTAGGTCGGGTAATCGTGGATTGTAACTGAGTTATAACTAAGTTGTAGGCCTACAACTTAGTGGTAACTCAGGTACAACAAAGTTACAATCCACGATTTTTGGGCATCCAGTGGTTATGGGGAAATCTCAACTGAAAGCAAAATACTGCATTCGAACAGTTTTGCTCCCAATATCAAAACTTCAACTTGATTCACTTACTCAATAAATTCAATACTCTGTCCACATCCTGTTGACTTTAATCACAGCCTCGAGTCGCCTAGGCCTGCTTTCCACTAATATTCGACATGTTTCTTGGTCGATTTTGCTCCACTCAGTTTGATCCTGCTACCACACCTCCAGCATGACGGTTTTGGCAACTCCTCGTACTGGTTGGGGCGCTGCTTGAGGTGTGCCCAGTGATGCCCGATGGGGTTTACGTCCGGAAACTGAGCTGGCCGCTTCAATCGGCTGTTGATTCAGCTATTGCTTATTTTATTCAGCTATTGTTGGGCGCTATTAGTCTTATGTTTTGGGTCGTTGTCATGCTGGGAAATAATTATGCTGACGTCATGATCATACCAGTCGATCGATTGCAACAATTCGTCCTCCATTATGAATCGGTAGAGCTGCTGATCCATGGTGCTGTTGATCTTGCACATGTGGCCGGTTCTCTTGATCGTTATGCAGCTAGCTCCAAATCATCATCGAGCCGCCTCCGTGCTTGACTGTTTGACGAGTCGGACTGGTCGCCATTCCCTCACACGCTTTCGATACCAGGCGTGTCCATCTGAGCCAAAACGGTTAATCTTAGTCTCATTTGACCAAATGACTCGCTTCCAGTCGTCAATCGTCCAACCTATGTGACTTCTGGCGAATTCCATGCGGGCCTCGATATTTGCTGGCGAGAGTTTCGGTTTTTTTTTCTTCCTGCTGCGCTTACCAGCTTTGTGGAGGGCACGATGAATGGTCTTCCCACTAACCTCGACTCCCACGTCGTCCCTGAGCTTGGTGGCCTTTCTTCTCTGACACGTTCATTTGGATTCATGAACGTTCTCAAGAAAGGGAGCGAAAGCCGATTGACGAGGTTAGAGTATTAGAGGGAGTCTTGATAAGTTTGAATTTCCTATCATTGATTGTGATAATCGGGTGCGCGAAGGTAGGAACGTGGAACTTCTCTGAAAAATTGTGGGGTCTATCACAACTATCAGGTTCTTGTCCTATCCCGCACTTAATTTTGAGAAGTTAATACATTTTCATATTTATCTAAATCTCAACGTTTTTTTTCGGAAATGTTCCTGAAACTAGGCTGAAGTAAGACCGCAAAGGAGACGGTAGCAGCGAGGATAATAAGTCAACATTTCAGTATATAAATGAGAGGTCCATATGAGTACTCGAGGCAATTATCAAAATTAATGTTAGCCCATTCCTGGCTGAAGCCCCCTCAGCTCCATCTTCCAGGAAAGGAAACTCTGGCTCTTAGGGAATGTAATCCTTTCTTTGGGTGGAAGTCATTTTGTGCAGTGATGATGAGAACGCCAGTCATTCCTTATATGTCGTATGTTCAGGTAAAGGATTGCATTCCCGACGGAAGCCCGTCAGCTAATCCCTTGCCTTGTCTATTAAACTAGATTTGAGGCCTAGGCATGTGATTAATGCTAATGTGAGGCAAGTCGTGAACTGGTGCAGAATGGAAGTGAAAAGTGAAGATTTTGTCGACTTTCAATGCATACATTTAAGAATAAACGAGGTGATAATGGAAGTATGAGGTAACCAAAGAAAGTGGCATTACTAATCAACTTCTGAGCATGATGATAAAAATATATCAGATTTTATGTATCAGACAGATTTTACTCTTGAGGATTTTATATTTTCATCAGCAAGACAGCTTGAATAATTTGATCTGATGTAAATCAATATTTCCGATGAACAACTTTAAAGTTTTGGATGGAACTGTGGGATATACTTGTGTTACATATGGATTTTTTAAATACATATTTTTAATGCAAGATGCGTGTTCAGACACTTGTCTGAAGGCCAGCAAATATGCATGAGAAGGTGATATAGTATTGTACATTTTCTATACAATTACCTAAACTCGCAGAAATAACAGTTAAACACTATTTTTAGACACTTCGTCGAAGCTGAAATATGTTTCTTTACACATTTTATGCATAAATGTTTGCAAACTGTTGGTGGAAAATGCAAGAATCGACATTTTATGCGAGAAAGAAAACATATTCAGCCACTAGCATTGGGAAGCAAATCACATTCTCCATATCGAATGCACACATGCTAGTGATTTTCTCTTGCAGAGAACACAGTCAAGATCTATCTTCCCACCTATCGATAATGTCATCTCTTTCCATTGCATGAAGCGAGTTGAGCAATTTCTTGCACGTTGTCTCGGGATTTTTCTTTCGGAGGAGAAACGCGAATACTTCATTCATTTTATCTGCATAGCTGTCTCTCTTCCTTATGTCCTGTTCCAGAGACATTGGGATGAAATCATCTTCACCGAGTTCCTGGAGAAAGTCGTCCATATCGATCAAAATGCTGCCATCAGATAAAATCTTTTTCAGTCGTTTGATCCGTGCCATCGGAGTTATGGAACCACTGAAATGAAAAAGAGTTGTTCAAAAGCATGAACATTTAGAAGGGAACCTAAATTAATATTGATACATTAAGCTCCAATTGACGAATGCAAGGAGAGTCAATTAGAACTTCGTCAAATGAGTGTATGAAGTGGCCAGACAATCTTGACTACTCAGTAGGGGAACAATTTTCACTCGTTATAATACCTTCTCCCTGAGCTCCGTGAATCATCTTGTTTGTTCACTGAATTGACATCCCCCTTCGCAGGCCTTTTCTTCTTTGGTCCGCCTTTCATCTGGGAGTTAGATGTACCCTTCGATGCAACATCCTTCTTACGCTTCTTCGGAGATATTGAGGTTGAACTTGTTCCTCTGGCAGACGACGCCACAGATTCTTCATCTTCCTTGGGTGCCAACTTCAATTCTGAAGAGATGTCAACCTTAGTTCACTGACTATTTCCTCTTATTTGACATTTGTATAATTGCAATAACAGATATGCGACAACAAAGCACACGTTTTTCTGATACTCTCTTTGCCTAGCAATATCAGCATTTTGCAACGATTTTTGACTAATTGGCTGACTTGCGGATCGTGGGCTATGCCAAACAGATGGACGGCGCCAGGTCATAAGTGCCACCGGTGACCCTCAGATACAGTTCCCTTACGAGGTCTGATCAAAAAGTTCTGAGACTTAATTTTTTATGACGCTGTGGTGACTCTGACTGCTGATAGTTATATCCTTTAAACTAGTCCTCTTCGGCATCTACACAAATTTTCCGGCGTTTCTTCAGCCGCTGGAAGCATTGCTGACACTCATCTTTTGGAAACACCAGCAGCGCTCGCGGCGCGTTCACAATTTTGCTTTGAATACCTAAAATCTCCTTCATTTCAGCACATTCTTTAGTTTAGGGAACAAAAATAAATTACTAGGAGCTACACCCCGACGAGTTGGATGGCTGATGAAGCACGGGATTGCGGGGTAGGTCAGAAACTGCTGAAATTGCAAAAGAAATGAAATCTCAGAACATTTAAAACAGCATTACGAACGCGCCACGAGCGCTGTTGATGACTGCTGATGATGCTGCTGATGACATACCAATTCCAGTCAACGAACATGTAGTTGAAGATTTTCATGATTCCTATTAATGACAATTTTTCAACTGGCTGCTAGAGGATGGGCTTACATGTGATTACTGAAAGAAACCTGATGTCAGGAGAAAATCTATATACAGTATGTCTGATAATACAAATATATGCATATGATAGAGATAAGTTTGTAAGCAAACAAAACATAAGCACGATGCTTGCTTTCATTATCAGGCAAGTCC